ACAAACTATTTGATTCCAATTAACAAAATAGCATTCTTTTTTCTTTTTCCCCCCCTTCATTTAAAAGTTATCTATAAAACTCCAAAACATATCTAACTAATATAGGGGCACTAAATTCACAAAGTAAATTACTTTATTAGTGTTAGCATTATATCGTGATCATTCCTAACTCTACTCTTTCCACTAAAGGACCATTGTGCTTGTTTCTCTTAGAGCAGAGATATGCTTCTCATGTTCAGTGACCCAGTTCCAAGAAGTATCACAATATAGAAGCCTATTTTCCACTTAATAAACATGCATAATTCCTGTGAATATTAGCAGTGATTATGCAGACTTACACACTCTAGGGCATATTCATCTAAACCCAGTGAATTCAAAAGATCTGAAGGAAAATGTATTTGGCCCTCTAGACAGCAAGAAACCCTAAAGAATGATAGGAACACTCAAGAGTTTTTATTGGTAGCTTTTATTTTAATGACAGTTTTGTATATTAATTTCTTAGCTCTCTGCCTGCAATGATAATGAAGTTTTATGCAAGATAAAAGAATTAAGGGCTTTTTAAGAGAGAAAAGGGAAAATCAAGGCAGCTAGTAAGGATTAAGCTTAACAGTTAGGGTATTTTTTTGAAGAAGGAAATTTTAGGTTTCAGCTTGTCTGATGCTATTTCCTACAGAAAAAGAGGTTAATTGGGATATTGCCAGCAGCCCAGAAGGTCGCATCTCATAACAGGTAGATAAATGAGAGGCCAAGAAGTGCAGATTGAAACAGAGATAATTGTCTCTGATAAATGAGTAAAGTTGGAAGACACCACAGCAGATCATCTGGTCCAACCTCTCTACTCAAGCAGAGTTGTCCCAGAGCACATGGCACAGGACTGCATCCAGAGGGTTCTGGAGTATCTTTGGTGAGGGAGACTCCCCAGCCTCTCTGGGCACCCTGTTCCAGTGTGTGGTCACTGCAGAGTAAGGAATTTCTTCCTCGTATTTGGGAGAAACTTCCTGTGCATCCCTTTCTGCCTCTTGACCTATTTCTGGGTACCACAGGGCCAAGCCTGGTCCATCCTCTTGACACCTTCCCCTCAAATGCTAATAAGCATTTATGAGATCCCCTCTCAATTATTTCTTGTTGAATAGGCTCAGCTCCCTCAACTTTTTTTCATAGCAGAGATGCTCCAGTCCCTTCATTATTTTTGTCACCCTCTGCTGGACTGGCTTCAGGAGCTCCATCTCTTGCTCTGAGGAGCCCAGAAATGGACACAGCTCTCCAGATGCATCTCACCAGGGCTGAGTAGAGGAGCAGGATGACCTCCCTTGATCTGCTGGCAATGCTGTTCCTCTAGTTGACTCAGTTTTCTACAGCTTAAGTAGTACATAACCATTGTGATAAAGGTAAGGCATTATATTATTTTTGTCATTTAAGAGAGAAAGCAAAAGGGCTACATTCAGTTGATTTTGCTTTTTCTCCTGTTCTAGATAGTTCTCTGCAGTAGGAAGATGTAACTCCCATACCCTGGAGAAACTTAGAATTTAGCACCAGCTCCTGTCCTGAGCAATGCCTTGTGGTTTTGCATGTTTCTTTACAAATTGTTGCCTTGAGTTTTAGCTTCCTCAGAATGCTATCCACAGATTTCTCCCCTTCTCATGCTCTGTGCAGACTGTCAGGACAGATATCTCAGTGTTTCAGTATTTAGGACTCTTTGTGGCTCTGGGCTTGCAGTATATAACCAACTATTCAATAAACTACTTAAAAAACTGCAGAAGCCTTCACTTCATTCAGCGCCATGGAGGGAAACATGAGCCCTAACAGTTTGCCACAGATTTTGTATCCCGAGAAGAATCTATCTACCCAAAAATGGACTAATCTTTTCAATTAACCTATTATATTGCAGAAAATGTTCAATATGCAACAATATGAAGTATATTTCTGCCTATTAGCTGTTTATTTAAAAGAGGTATTCTTGACTAAGTATTTTTATAGACACTTCCATTAAAAGTGCTGCAAATATTTTTTCTGTAGAGTCCATTGGTGTAACTGCTATTTATTTTAAGCACTGGATGATTTGTATTCATAATGGAAACTTCAATAGCAAATGTTCCTAAGCCAAACTAGAGTAATTTCCCCCTTTAGTCAATACAGTCGTCATCTGCATCAGTAAACAGCACAGTACACTTGATGCAAATATGTAGAGTTTGAAGGGTTCATGTTGAGGAACTGCCATCCACATCACACCTGTTCTGGAGGTTCCCTTTCAGACCAACTCGAGCTTATTAGCAGCAATTACATACAGTAACACATTAGCTGTGATTCCAGGACGCACCTAATTATGTTTCATGAAAAAAACAAAACCCCAAACAGTTTCTATGCCGTAATATTGTGCACCCCACTTTGTAATTCTGATGGAAGAGAAGTGCAGACAATCAGGAAATTTATTTCAAAGTATTGCTAATATAAAATGTTTTGTCTATTTAAGCTGAGGATATTTTCTATTGTGCATGAGTAAAAAGAAAAGGAGTTTGCTTTGCACCTAAGTTAGATGATCAACATCTTTTTATCAACACACATGAAAATGCACCCCACAGCTCTCACGAATGAAGAAACAATGTCACCTTAAGTCAACATGAATTGGAAGGGGAGGAAAGTCTTGTATTGCTTTTCAAAATATATTGAACAATGGAAATCTTCCTCGATAAAATCCAGTTCAGACGAACAGATAAATGTCATCCCTCCCAACTAGAAGTTTTTTCAGAGGAATTACAAATCAATACATGCTTCACGTGTTTTCATCCTGAATATATTTTATGTGATTTCAGATGCTATAAATGTAATCATAATGATTCAGGTCTCCTGCTGGTGGCTCCTCCTGGAAAGATAAAATTTGACATCTAGGGGTGTATCTGCAGCCAGAAGATAAGACATTCTGGGGTATACAGAGTGTCCTACACAGAAGAAGTTGCCACCACAGCCAGCACTCGTGACTATGAACTCCTCAGAAACATTATTTGACAAGCATTTCTGTGACACAGAGAGAAGTAAAGCTCTGGATTTACTACAGCTAATCTTATTTATCCTCGCAAGATTAGTATTTTGCCCATATAGACATTAAATACAGGATGACAATAAACTGGACTAGATATATGGCAGTGTCACTAGACAGCCAAAAATCAAACCCCACAACTACCAAAGCAAGGGAGAGAATCACATTTGATGCCCATGTCTAAAGATACATGAGGCCATAAAACTAAAAGCTGGAATTGCAGCTTAGTAAGATTACAAAGCTGTCTTCAAATTCAAGAGAAAAATACTGCTAGTGCTCTTCATGTAATTTTTTGCACTACCATCACTGCAAACATGATATTGAATTTTCTCTCTGATGTGTCTTCACAAGTAAAGTATCTTGTGAAATATCTATGAATGCTTCAAACACCTGTTTGAAGGAAGAAAGTCCTGGGAGTTCTGAGTTATTTACAGATGTTTTTCCTCACAGCATACAAAATCATAAAAAAAACCCCAAACCACCACCCCACCAAAACAAAAAAACCTAAAGAAACCCCAAAAACAAACCCACATCAACAACAAAGCCAAAAAAAGCCCCAAATAAACAACAACAACAAAAAGAAAAAACCAACAAAACAAAACAAATCCCCAAAAAACACCTTTACTGTGATTTTCCAAAATGAAAAAATAATTTCTGAAGAGTAGACATACTTTATTAAGAATTTTTTAAAAAACTGTTTACTTTTCCCAGAAACATGGAGGAGAAGTGACTGGATGCCTGCTCCTCTTGGATGTGCAGTGATTACTGTTTAAAGTGGAACTTACAAATTATCAGTCAGTAACAAGCACAACACCTGAGGCTGTACAGATTCTTTCATCTGAAAATATAATTCATTACAAACTCATTCATTACAAACTCCTATTCTTAAGAATAGGATTGTGAGGCAACATCTTCTTCAGCCATGAATAATAAAATATGAAGACAGAAGCTTATTTGTGTAAGGTGAATTAGAAGTTTATGCTAGAACCATTCATTAGAAAGAAAAAGGGTCTAGGTAATACTTTGCAAAGGGATCTGGTTCAATGCTGAAGAAATTTAGGAAAGAGCTGCACCGTGCATTTGAGGAAAATAACAGTCCTGCTTGTCTGCAAAAATTGCCAGTGTGCTCAGTCTTAACTACATATTAATTACATTTGAAAGGCTGCTTTATTTTTATTCAGCCTCACTTTGTATTTATGAGATGTTCTGATCCCACAGTTCATCACTGTCATTCAATATTTGTCCTAATTAACATTACTTTGAAGTGTCTGACCTTTAGGTCAGCATTCAATTCTGAATTAAAATATAATTATCTTTGTAACATGAATACACTTTTTATGCTTCCCCCATGTTTTTCTTGTTACAGAATAACTACATCATAAATTTAAGGGAAAGACTGCATTGAACATGACAAAGTGATGAAAAATAAGAATAAAATAAACAGATCAGCCTGCTTTCCCTTCCCAATAAAATGAGAAAAGTGATAGCAGGGAAAAAAATAAAGGCAACACCTAAAATTTATGGAAGAAATGCTTTGTGCACAGTGCATAATTTATCTGCAGGTCTTACTGTCATGAAACTTTACCACTTTTATATAAATATGTCCAGCAATCACATGGTTTATATTGAACAGGACCATGGCTATCCTTTAATCCTTATGAATGACATCGCCTTTAAAATTTGAAATTCACGTCATGAATTTCAGAGCACAGAGAATGTATTACATTTCCTGTGAATAAATCACAGCTTTTTTCCTAAATTTTTGGTTCTTGTCACTATAGTTACACAAATCACTGGTGTGAAGAGGGTAACACTTCCCACTCATTGCCTCATCTTCACCATTGCTTCTCCTCATTCTAAATGACCACCAGCTCTGGACCATGTTTGCTTTACATTACTTTATAAATTTTTTTTACAGTCAAATAACTTACTTTTAAGTTAACAAATAACTTAGTAAATAACTTACTTTTACGTAGAGCTGCTGAAACTCCTCAAGGTTCAGTCTACCACTTGGACAGTCCTTTAGAAATCCTTTGTACCACTGTTTTAGCTCGTGTTCATTGAACTCCGTGCTCTTCACCAGATCCTCCATCACCTCAGGGGCCAGCTTACTATTTTGTTTCCCCATTTTGCCTTAGGAAGAAATAAATGAGTACAATTAGCCAAATGTGAACATTTTAAATTGGAATAAGCCACATAACTTGAACAATTGCTTTGTATTCACTGCTGCTTTCGATCAAATGCAACTTCACTGATTTGCTATGATGATGATGATTTTGCTGATGAATCTATGTTATGCTTGATTGTTGGAGGCTGAAAATAGTGAAAAAGGCAACATTATTCTTTCATTTAGGAATCTTAAGGCCTGGAGACAGACTACTCTCATTTGCCTTAAAATTAGGCATTTTACAGCTTTTCTTTACAGTAAGATTGAAAAAGATTACTTATTTTTTTCCTTGAATGTAACAAAAATATTTCACAGATTCAGGGATGTCGACAGAATTCCTCTTTATCTTTGTCTTGAAAATATCTTCTGATATGACTGCTACATTAGCAGCTACTCCTCACATGTCCAAGGCTGTGGACAGACAGGCTTGCAACATACAGCATTAGGTATTCCACTGGGAGGAAGCAATGCAAGAGTCCACAAACTTCATCTCAAAAAATTATGAAACCAAACTGGAAAAATAAATTTAATTCTTATGCATTTGTACATACACATATGTATAACTAGACATATATTTATATATTTCATGCATAATTGATAAACATTAGATGGTTTAAATTTCATCACTGTTTACATTTCATCACCATTAACTCTGAAGATATTCACTGCATTTGTTAAATACATTCTGTATACACTTAAAATATTAAACAGAAATACTAAATTTGCATGTGTGTATAGATAAATACAGTAATTTCAGTACTACTCATGTTGGCCCTTTGAGATACTTTCAGGTGCTTTGACATTTGACCAAAGATGTCCTTTGAGAGAACTTTAGAGAAAATCTCATCTAACATTTTCCTATTTTGCTACAGTTTCTTTCATGACAGATATCTCTGTTACTTTTTAATCAGATGACAGACAGCACTTGTCCTGTAGAGAACTGCAAAGCAATGAAAAATTTCTTTCCAGAGCCCAGCTTTGCATTTCCATTTTTATCTCCAGTTCAGCATCTGTGTCTAATGACTGCACCACACTGAATGCATTGATTTCTAGTCCATATCACCACCCATTCCCAATTTTAATCTATCGCTTTTGGCATCTTCCCCTATTTCAAAGCAGAAGTTTCTTTCTCCTCAAAAGGACATATATTTTTCTGTTCCAACAAATCAATATATTTATATAATTTCCTTTATGGGAACATTCCTTGAGCAAGAGCAAAGTTAATAATTCTTCCTGGTCTGTGTGTGTGTTGAACATATCCCCTGGTGCCATAGCAGCACCAACTCTGTTCCTGAAAGACCTCATGGCCCCTCTCCCTTCTGGCCATGGTCCTCCCTGGTCTAAACTTGCTCCATGCTCTCAACTTACTTGGAGATTCTCCTGTTCACAGGTTTTGGCAAACTTAGCACAAATATGTGGGCATTCAATCTTCCAGTTAATTGCCACAGGTAAAACTGTACATGCAGATGTCCAGAAATCAGCTGTTTTGACTAAATGATGGGTTGGCAATTTACAGTACTTAGAGCAACTGCCCCAGCCTTATCTTGGAAGTCCCCACCTTCTCATGTATGACAATGACCCAGTTTGGCACATTCTGAATTTAAATCCCATGGAGACTAAAGAATAATAATGCAGTTATTTCTCTAGCTCCCACTCAGGTTTTACAAGAAACAATGACTTTCTAAAGTTTGTTTTATTCTTTATGGGGCATGTTTGCTTTCTCTTTTTCTTTTTTATTTACACTCTGTTACTTTTTGAAGTCATAAGGTGCTTTGCTTAGGATCCAGAAAACCTCTAAAGATATTCAGTAGCTATAGTAACTATCCTAGGGAGATTCAAAAAGCATTTTTTCTTTCTCTCTTAATTTAGCCAATTGTGCTTTTGCTTGACTCTTCACCTGGATTCATACCCCCAGAACTATCTAACTTAACACTATTTACAGATGAAAAAAGCATCCTCAATGGGCAAAAATTAAGTGGTTTTGACTGACCACTTGTCTGTTATAGCAGCTTTTTTATCTTCATCCATGTAAGCTTTACAGCCCTTGGACCTGGCACTCTAGAGAGGTGGAACAGAACAGATGTGGTGAATCTCAGCCACATCTGCCAAAGCTGCCTTTGCTGTTCTCAGTGATGGGAACATAATCCACTGTAGAACATCACAGAGCATGGAGTGGCTCTGCATGTGCGGAAGAATACTTGAGTAAAGACACACATATCCACACATAAGCTATCATCAGAGTCAGAGAAACAAGTCACCAGCTTTTTGCCTCTGTGATCCGGGTCCCTAGTTTTGGGCAGCCGCCTGTCTGTCACAGGTTGTCCAGTAAGTGCCAAACACCTTTCAGCCATTTCTGATGTACCTCACCATGGAATATCTCTAGTAAAGGAAATCACAGCTGACATTTTAATAAACAGTCTCAGAAACTATTTTTTCCACAGAACCAAACCAGTATTTGAGAAAGGTATAATTTATGATTTCTGGGCTCTGTACTCTTATTTGCTGCTCCAGCACAGCATGGTGCATAATCGGCTGCGCTCTGTTTGGGACAGAGTAAGCAAACTGACCAAGCTGGTCACGATGCATTCCTGGAATTAGAAGCACTCATTCTTTCTTCATGTTTTAAAGCTCTTTTCTTAGAGTAATTGAATTACAATCTGCAAGAAAGCTCAAGAGTCTCATAAAATTATCAAATATAAACTCAGACTTCTGGCTCTGTGAGATCCATCTTATTGGGGAATAAAACTCAAATACATAGATTATCTAGTTAATCATATCCTAACATCTTCTAGAGCTTCATTGAATCTCTTATTATTATTGAAAAAGTACAATCACCCATTAGCAATGAGTATGCTATTGCCAAGACATTTAGCTTTCTAAAATGAAAACTGTTTTTAATTAACTTACAATCACAATTTCCCAAACAAGTTTTTCCTTGTGAAAACCTACAAATATGCCTTAGGAAAAGACAGGAGAGAACAGCTGCACAATCACTAAGATTTCAAGAGGAGGAAAGATCACTCTGCAAGCATTTTTTTGTTTAGTAAATTTTATCATTTTCAACTATAAATTTGTTTCTAAGTGCCATATTTCCAACCATGCAATCTGACAATCCAAGCTATTCATAATCAGTTGTGTTTTCTGGCAAAAAAAATCATTAAAGAAAAAAAAAAAACAAAAAAAAACAAGGCTTAATGTGGAGGAGAGATTCCTGATAACCAAGGAGCCAGGTAGGTGGGTGCCACATAGCACTGATACCATGTCAGGTCTGTTTCCAGTGAGATTGCTCTGGCAGGAGAGCGCTTAACACTAGCAAGGGCAGCACAATCAAAATCAGAGAGCAAGAAAAATATTGAAACTCTACTGTTGTGCAACAAGTAGCAAGAGCAATGAAGGCTGAGTTTAAAACCATATCACTTTTCTGAAACACTTGAAAAGGCCATCAACCATCCAGAGAAAATTGCTTTTCAGAAATACTTAGTAAGCTACTCCAGTATTTCATTAACACCTTAATTGCTGCTTTTACAGGTCCATAGAAAATTCAGATTGTAAAGATGGAATGTTATTGAACAGCCAATCCCCAACCTAAGGCAGTCCAGGCTGTGCCAGCAGCAGGTGGGGCATTTCGAGGATGGATTTGCCTGCTCTTTGCAGTGCTGGACCTCAGGGGGCCCACACCAGACAGATCCTCCGGCTTTAAGGTCTGATATTGTTTGTTTGATATATTTCCTGCAATGCTATCATGTCCCACACATGCTCATGTTGTTTCAAAAGCTCTTCACTTTATCACCATCCAAACCTCCTGGCCAATGGCAAAGCTTTTTCCCTAGAATATTTCACATCAAGTCCTGCAAGGTTTTTCAGGTCTGCCTCTCCCATTTGGCTTGCCAGCAGTAAACTGTCTACTGTCTACTGTGTGAGTAGTTTCACAAAACAAAATTTAAAATACTCACCTAAGAAATAAAAAATTTAATTTGAATAGCGAAACATGACTTACATAATATTTTTTGCTCTTTAATGATCTCAAAAGACCCCCTCAACTGTTGCTTCTTTCCCCTCCTCTCATTCCCCTCAGCCTCCTTGGCATGTGCTCAGTGTTCAAAGGGACCAAGAGCAAACAAATTGAATTCTGTGTATTCCTAAGGAAAAGTAAACTGAGTGCTGCCAAACATATTCTATTTGTGCTGAAAAAGGACCCAAATTCTACTGAGAAGACAGCACCAACAATGTTCAACAATGTGCCTATAACCCAGCTCTGTGTTGTTTTGCTTGCTTTCCTTAGATGTATTTACATAAACCCATTCTCTTTCCAAGTTGCTTTAGGAAAAGTGTTGACAGCAGTTTGAAGGAGGTGATTCTTCCCCTCTGCCCAGCTCTGATGAGACATTTCTCACCATTCCCCAGGTCACTGTGTCCAGTGCTGGCTGGGTTCCCTATACTGGACAGACATGGACTTACTGGAGCCCAGCAAAGGCCACAGAGGTGATGAGCACTGGCTACAGAAAGAAAGTCTGAGAGGGCTGGGGCTGTTCAGCCTGCAGGAGAGAAGGCTCAGTGGGTCTTATCAGTGTGGGTCTAAATACCCAACGAGGGGAACAAAGACAGCAGTCAGCCTCCTCTCAGAGGTGCACAGTGAGACAAGAGGCAATGGGCACAAATTCAAATTCAGGAAATTCTCTCTTGATATAAGAGAACATTTCTTCACTGAGCAGGTCATCCAACACATCCAGAAAGGTTGTGGAATCTCTGTTCTAGAGGATATTTAAACCCCAACTGAACACAACTCTGAGCAATCCTCTATAGTTCACCATGCTTGAGCAGCGGCTTGGACTTGAGCATCTCTGGAAGTCCCCTCCAATCCTAGTGAGTCTGTCATTCTGTGAAACACAGGGAAATGTGTTTCACACATAAATGGGTCAGTCACACCACCTATTTTTGATATCCACAGTAGCTGCCCAATTTCACT